CATGGGATGCAAAGCTTTGATTCTGCGCTAGCTTATGATATGGTGTGCCATTTTTCAGATGGTATGCTCTGTTCTGTTAGGATATGTTATGGTGCGCTCTGTCATTTATTTCACCGTGTGGTGTTATGTTATAATTTGCGTGCTCCATGATGTCATTGCACGCGTTGCTATGACGTGTTCTAGTATGTCCTGCTCTGGGATGCTATGCATTCGTATGCGTTGTTGTATTGTGATGTCATGATATTCTTGTTATGCAATGCTATAGTGTGTTATGCCGCGCTCTGTCATGCTATGATGTCTCATGTTCTGGAATGGTACTTGCTGTAACGCTGTGCTACGATGTGGCATGTTTTGGCGTGGTAGGTCATGTTATGATATGTTATGGCAAGCTATGTTTTATGATATGTTATGATATGAGGTGTGGTGTTATGTTTCGCTCTGTATGCTCCATTATGGTAAAGCTAATTGTGTCATACTATGCGTATGACCTGCTATGCTGTACCATCTTATGCCGCGCTCTGTCATGTTAGGATGTGCCATATGTGCCGCGATGATACCTGTCATGTTATACATGCTGGGGTTATGCGTTACGTTGTAATGTATTATGACATGGTACGTCATGGTCTGACATGTATGATGTGTTCGGTTATGGTCTGTGCGCTCCGGTCTGTCATAGCATGCGCTGTTCTGTTGTGTTGTGTCATGATTTTTACCTAACAGCTTTTGCTGATAGGTTTCTAGTAAGGTCAAAAGAGAGCATCATGACTCCTCAGGGGGGTCTGGGCGGGTGCCGGGGAGGAGAACCGGGAATCGTATTTCGCCAACAATCACACACTTCGTGCTCTTCGACCTCCCAAAACTCCACTCCCGGGCCACATTCTGGAGAACCGGGAACCGAGCCGGGCTCGCTTTTCGCCAACTGTCACACACTTCGTGCTCTTCGACCTCCCAGAACTCCATTCCCGGGCCACATTTTGGATGCCCGGAGCCAACTGTAGGCCACTTCGTGCTCTTCAAGTTCCCAGAACTCCATTCCTGGGCCACATTTTGAATGCCCGGAGCCAACAGTAGGCCACTTCGTGCTCTTCTAGTTCCCAGAACTCCGCTCCTGGGCCACATTTTGAATGCTGAGGCAGGCTGATGCTGCGACCGAGGCAGGCTGAGGCTGATGCAGGCTGAGGCTGAGGCCGAGGCTGAAGGCAGACTGAGGCTGAGGCTGAAGCAGACTGAGGCTGAGGCTGAGGCAGGCTGAGGCTGAGGCTGAGGCAGGCTGATGCTGAGGCAGGCTGAGGCTGAGGCTGAGGCTGATGCAGGCTGAGGCTGAGGCAGGCTGAGGCTGAGGCCGAGGCTGAAGGCAGACTGAGGCTGAGGCTGAAGCAGGCTGAGGCTGAGGCTGAGGCAGGCTGAGGCTGAGGCAGGCTGAGGCTGAGGCTGAGGCAGGCTGAGGCTGAGGCTGTGACTGCGACTGCCGTTGCCGCTGCGACTGTCATCGCGAATGCGACTACGACTGCGAGAACAGCAGAATTCTACAACTGGATTTTCATGTGAATCTTAAGGGGGATGCTTTCAGATATGCTTCTACACATCGCTGTTAGGTTGCTTTGCTGGGATAATTTATGTCATGATATGTGAGGCTGTTGCATGTTCTGTGTTGGTATGTATATATATATATATATATATATATATATATATATATGCGACTGCTATTATGGTATGATCGCTTTGTCATGGTATGGGATGATATGTGCTGTGATGCAGTGCTATGGTATACACTGCTCTTTCATGGTGTATTATGTTGCGATGTGTCATGTCATGGTATGGCATGCTATGCTCTGACATGTTCTGTTTGATGCGGTGATATTGTTTCTGTCATAGCTGATCGTGTTGTGCTGTACAATGTTTTGCTATTTTATAATACCGCTCTGTCATGTTATGATTTGTCGGCGCGAGGCAGGACACTCGGGGGGATACTCAGGAATCTTAGGATCTGGCGGCCGCGGTATGCAGAATGGCGCGAAGCGGGGCTCGGGATACTCGGGAGCCTGGGAATCTGGCGGTCGCCGTATGCAGACTGGCGCGAGGCGGGATTCTCGGGGATACTCGAGAACCTGGGGATCTGGCGGCCGCGATATGCAGAGTGCCACGAGGCGAAACTCTCGGGGATACTCGGGAGCCTGGGGATCTTGCGGCCGCGGTATGCAGAGTGCACGGGTCGGAAGTCTGCTCTCGAATTCTAGCGACCCCAACCTGTCAGGTGGGGACGCACGGCCGGAGCCCTAGATACTATCTGTTTGAGCCGCATCGATCTGTGAGGGCCCCAGAAACGCGCGAAAACTTTTTGGCCAACAGGCTCCTGAGGCGGGTCGAAAGCCGTCCGAACACTAGTCGGGCCGCGACTAGGCAGCAGGAAAAGAAAGGCAAGCGAAGCGAGCGAGCGGGCAGCCACTCAGAAAGAGAGCCAGAACCGATACTCCCAGACCCGGTGGCGTTGGAAATCCCGGTGGCGACCAGCAGGTAAGCGCAGCCAAAATGGCGCGGCGGCGCGACCATAAACACGTTGAGGTCGATCGCAAACGCGCGAGAACGCCCAGCGTGAAAAAGCTGCAACGCCCTGCTCGCAGGGTCCCCCCCTGGCAACGGGCGTCGAGCACGACGGGTTCCGCGCAGCGCAGGGGCAAGGAGAGACCAATCCGCCCGAGAGCTCTGAGCGGCCGCGTCGTGGCCGGCGACCCCCTGCCTGCTCCTGCTCCAGCTCCTCCTCCTCCTCCTCCTCCTCCTCCTCCTCCTCCTCATCATCATCATGATCATCATGATCATCATGATCATCATGATCATCATGATCATCATGATCATCATCATCGTCATCATCATCATGATCATCATCATGATCACCATCATCATCAGCATCATCACCATCATCATCATCATCATCATCATCATCATCATCATAATCATCATCATAGTCATTATCATCATCATCACCACCATCATCTTCATCACCACCACCACCATCATCACCATCGCCACCACCACCATCATCATCACCATCACCACCATCATCATCATCACCATCATCATCACCATCATCATCATAGTCATTATCATCATCATCCGCATTGTCATCAGGATCACCATCACCATCACCACCATCACCACTATCATCACCATCATCATCACCACCATCACCACCATCATCACCATCATTCTCACCACCACCACCATCATCATCATCACCATCATCGTCATCATCACTATCATCGTCATCATCACCATCACCAACACCAACACCATCATCATCATCATCATCATCATCATCATCACCATCAACATCATCAATCCCCCCACAATCATCAATACCACCACCGTCATCATCATCATCACCATCACCATCATCATGACCATCACCACCACCATCATCACCACCATCATCATCACCACCATCATCACAATCGTCACCATTGTCAGCATCAGCATCACTACAACCACAACGAAAATCACAACCACCACCACCATCATCATCATCAGCATCAGCATCATCATCATCATCATCATTATCATCACCATCACCACTCCCATCAGCATCGTCACCATTATTACCATCATCAGCATCAGCTTCATCACCATCACCACCAGAGTTATCATCATCACCATCATCATCAGCATCAGCATCATCATCACCATCATCATCACCATCATCATCTTTATCATCATCATCACCATCACCATCATCATCACCACCACCACTATCATCATCACCATCACCATCAGCATCAGCAACATCATCACCCTCATACTCATTGTCACCATCATCATTGTCATCATCATGATCACCATCATCACAACCACCACAATCATCATCATCACCGTCATCATCACCAAAACCATCATCATCACCATCATCAACATCACCATCACCATCATCATCACCATCATCATGATCATCAGCAGCATCACCACCATCATCACCATCACCCTCATCATCATCATCATCATCAGCATCCTCATCACCATCATCATCACCATTCCCATCACCATCATCAGCAGCATCACCATCATCACCATCATCATTTATCATCATCACCATCCTCATCATCCATGTGAGCATCATCATCAGCACTATCATCAGCACCGTCATCAGCATCAGCATCATCACCACCACCACAACCATCACCACCACCAGCATCATCATCACCATCATCAATATCATCAGCATCAGCATCAGCATCATCACCACCACCACCGCAATCATCATCAGCATCATCCTCATCATTACCATCACCATCACCATAATAATCAGTGTCATCAACATCATCATCATCATCATCACCATCACCGACATCATCATCATCATCATCATCATCATCATCATCATCATCATCATCATCATCATCATCATCATCGTCATCATCATCATCGTCATCGTCATCATCATCATCATCATCATCATCATCATCATCATCATCATCATCATCATCGTCGCGGGTATGCAAGCGAGAATGCCGTGGGACCGGGACCAACCAGCAGGCGACCCGTCCCTCTCTTCCCTCTTTCTCCTCCTCCTCCTCCTCGTGCTTTCTGCTATTCTCCCAGCCCTCCTCCTCCTCCTCCTCCTCCTCCTCCTCGTGCTTTCTGCTCCTCCCCCAGCCCTCCTCCTCCCTCCTCTGGTTACCACTCGTGCCCCAAGCTTCTCTCGTGTCTCCGGCGCTGTCTCCGCGAAGTGGAGTGGCGCATCCCGTCAGTACGATGCGCTCCTCCCCACTCTCCTCCTAGACCCTGCGCGCGCGTGCTGGCAAGAGGGAGGGGGGCCACAGTTTGCTTGTGCTCAGGACGATCTGAAGAGATTCGGCGCGGCCGCCGAAAGCTCACGGAGCGAGCCTGAGGCAAGCAATAGTTTCCAGATCTCACGCGTTCAACAGAAGCCGCCCTGTTATCGTGCGATGGCGCCCAAGTGGTCCTCCTCAGGGCCAGATCGTCTCTAAACCTAGGCCTGCCCCGAGAGGCACCGAAGCAAATTCGCGAGAAAGTATGCCGACATAACGCTGTGCAGCAACGAGCGCGTCGGAGAAGAGAAGTGTTGGTGTATGCGTGTGCGTGCGCCGATAAACATGACGATAGGGTCCCTCCCGACGCATCCGCAGAAACAACTCTCCTGGCGTGTTGGTCGTTCTCCCCCTCCAGCTTCCCCCCTTGCACGGCTGCGCAGCTGATCTAAATTATAGCCGGAGTGCAGTATCCCCAAACAGGGTTTTTAGACCCACTGCGGTTTCCAAGGTCGATTGCGTGCCCGTCCAGTGCGGGCTGGCATGGCATGTTAAACATGCCTCCTCCTCCTCCTCCTCCTCCTCCTCCTCCACCTCCTCTTCATCCCGAACGGCATCTCGGAGCCCAGAGTTGCAAGGATGTCTCCAGCGTAACGGGCTGGACCACCTCGCGCGCGGCATTTCGGACTTCAGAGTTGCGACGAGGTCTCGGGCGAAACGTGGTGCGAGGAAGTCTCAGGCGAAACGGGCCGCACTACCTCGAGCGCGGCGTCTCAGAGCTCCGAGTTGTGGGGGCCTCCTGAGGCCTCCTGGGACCTCCTGGTGACCTCCTGGGACTTCCTCCTGGGCCCTGTGGCCTCCTGGATCCCACCTGGGGCTTCCTGAAGCCTCTTGGGGCTCCCAGGGGTGGATATCTAACATGCGGCCGTCGGGGCCCCCCGGGGGGCCACAAGAGCAGGAAAAATCAACGAATCGACACCGGATGTGTATTAACTTGACACGTTCTAATAGGGGGCTTCCTGGGGCCTCCTGGGAGCCTCCTGGGAATCTCCTGCGGACCCCTGGGGCCTGTCCTGGGCGTCCTGCGGCTTCCTGAAGCTCTCTGGGGCCTCCTGGGGCTCCCAGGGTCCAAGGGGGGATATGTAACATATGGTCTTCTGGGCCCCCAGGCTGGACCACCTCTTGCGCAGCATCCGAGAGCTCAGAGTTGTGAGAATGTCTTGTGCGAAACGGGCCGGACCACCTTGCGCACGGCATCTCAGAGCTCAGAGTTGCGAGGATGTCACAGGCGAGATGGGCGGACCACCTCGCGCAGGGCATCTCGGAGCCCAGAGTTGCGAGGATGTCTCAGGCGTAACGGGCTGGACCACCTCGCGCGCGGCATTTCGGACCCCAGAGTTGCGACGATGTCTCGGGCGAAACGTGCTGCGAGGAAGTCTCAGGCGAAACGGGCCGGACCACCTCGAGCGCGGCGTCTCAGAGCTCAGAGATGCGGGGGCCTCCTGGGGCCTCCTGGGACCTCCTGGTGACCTCCTGGGGCTTCCTCCTGGGCTTCCTGTGGCCTCCTGGACCCCACCTGGGGCTTCCTGAAGCTTCTTGGGGCTCCCAGGGGTGGATATCTAACATGTGGCCGTCGGGGCCCCCCGGGGGGCCACAAGAGCAGGAAAAATCAACGAATCGACACCGGATGTGTATTAACTTGACACGTTCTGATACGGGGCCTCCTGGGGCCTCCTGGGAGCCTCCTGGGAATCTCCTGCGGACCCCTGGGGCCTGTCCTGGGCATCCTGCCGCCTCCTGAAGCTCTCTGGGGCCTCCTGGAGCTCCCAGGGTCTCAGGGGGATATGTAACATGTGGTCTTCTGGGCCCCCAGGCTGGACCACCTCTTGCGCAGCATCTGAAAGCTCAGAGTTGTGAGAATGTCTTGTCGAAACGGGCCGGGCCACCTTGCGCACGGCATCTCAGAGCTCAGAGTTGCGAGGATGTCACAGGCGAGATGGGCCGGACCACCTCGCGCAGGGCATCTCGGAGCCCAGAGTTGCGAGGATGTCTCAGGCGTAACGGGCTGGGTCTCCTCGCGCGCGGCATCTCGGACCCCAGAGTTGTGACGATGTCTCGGGCGAAACGTGCTGCGAGGAAGTCTCAAGCGAAACGAGCCGGACCACCTAAGGAGGGCGGCGCCTCAGAGCTCAGAGTTGCGTGGGCCTCCTGGGGTCTCCTGGTGACCTCCTGGGGCTTCCTCCTGGGCCTCCTGTGGCCTCCTGGACCCCACCTGGGGCTTCCTGAAGCCTCTTGGGACTCCCAGGGGGATATCTAACATGTGGCCGTCGGGGCCCCCCAAAATGGGGGGGGGGCCACAAGAGCAGGAAGAATCAACGAATCGACACCGGATGTGTATTGACTTGACACGTTCTAATAGAGGGCCTCCTGGGGCCTCCTGGGAGCCTCCTGGGAATCTCCTGCTCCCCCTGGGGCCTGTCCTGGGCGTCCTGCGGCCTCCTGGAGCTCTCTGGTGCCTCCTGGGGCTCCCAGGGCCCCAGGGAGGATATGTAACATGTGGTCTTCTGGGGCCCCCAGGCTGGACCACCTCTTGCACGGCATCTGGGAGCTCAGAGTTGCGAGAATGTCTTGTGCGAAACGGGCCGGACCACCTTGCGCACGGCATCTCAGAGCTCAGAGTTGCAAGGATGTCTCAGGCGAAACGGGCCGGTGTGTCGGGCGAAACGTGCTGCGAGGAAGTCTCAGGCGAAACGGGCCGGACCACCTCGAGCGCGGCGTCTCACAGCTCCGCGTTGCGGGGGCCTCCTGGTGCCTCCTGGGGCCTCCTGGGGCTTCCTCCTGGGCCTCCTGTGGCCTCCTGAACTCCACCTGGGGTTTCCTGAAGCCTCTTGGGGCTCCCAGGGGGGAAATATCTAACCTGTGGCCGTTTGGGCTCCTCACAATGGAGGGGGGGCCACACAAGCAGGAAAAATCAACGAATCGGCACCGGATGTGTATTAACTTGACACGTTCTGACAGGGGGCCTCCTGGGGCCGTCTGGGAGCCTCCTTGGAATCTCCTAGGGACCCCTGGGGCCTGTCCTGGGCGTCCTGCGGCTTCCTGAAGCTCTCTGGGGCCTCCTGGGGCTCCCAGGGTCCCAGGGAGGATGTGTCACATGTGGTCTTCTGGGCCCCCAGGCTGGACCACCTCTTGCACGGCATCTGGGAGCTCAGAAGTGCGAGAATGTCTTGTGCGAAACAGGCCGGACCACCTTGCGCACGGCATCTCAGAGCTCAGAGTTGCGAGGATGTCTAGGCGAGACGGGCCGGACCACCTCGCGCAAGGCATCTCAGAGCTCAGCAGTTCGAGGATGTCTCAGGCGAAACGGGCAGGACCACCTCTCGCGCGGCATCTCCGAGGTCAGAGTTTCGAGGATGTCTCAAGCGAAACGGGCCGGACCACCTCGCGCAAGGCATCTCAGAGCTCAGAGTTTCGAGGATGTCTCAGGCGAAACGGCCTGGACCACCTCTCGCACGGCACCTCGGGGCTCAGAGTTTCGAGGATGTCTCAAGCGAAACGGCCCGGACCACCTCTCGCGCGGCGTCCCAGAGCGCAACTTTTCGAGGATGTCTCAGGCGAAACGGCCAATCCCGGCCAACTCAGAAACGAGAGTTGTGAGGATTTCTCAAGCGAAACGGCCCGGACCATCAAATTTTTGTGAGGATGTCTCTGCTCCGACTTCCCTCGGCCGGAGTTAGCTTCTATCACAACAGCACCCCGTTCAGCAAGCTGTTTGAGGAAAAAACAGTCCCTGGGACAAGATCGAGAGGGCCGCGGACGCACGTCTCGAAACAAACATCTGGACGTCGGATGTCTGGGGATGGCGGGAGGCAAGGCGCGCATGGCGGATGCTGAGGCGGCAAAATGACGGAGACGGCGACGGGGAGGCGGAGGCAGAGGAACAGCAGCGAGAGGCGAGAGGCGTGAGGAGGAAGGAGGGAAGAGGAGGCAGGCGGGAGGCAAGAGGAGGGAGGTGGGAGAAATGAGAGAGGTTTCAGGCAGAACGGGGCACACCATCTCGTGCGCAGCATCTCGAAGAACCCTGACGAAGAACCAGTCCCGGGGACGAGATCGAGAGGTCCACGGGCGCACGTCTCGAAACAGAAATCGTGACGTCGGATGTCTGCGGAGGGCGGAAGGCAGGGCGCGCATGGCGGCATCTCGGAGCTTCGCATTGTGAGGATGGCTCGGGAGAAACGGGCTGGACCACCTCGCGTGCGGCATCTCGGAGCCCAGTATTGGAAGGATGCCCCAAGCGAAACGGGCCGTTCTACCTCTCGCTTCCCGTTAAACCCTCTCATGCAACTCCATTCCTCATCCCTCCTCCTCCTCCTCCTCCTCCTCCTCCTCCTTCTCGTCCTCCTCCTCCTCCTGCCTGCTCCCTCCTCCTCCTCCTCCTCCTCCTCCTCCTCCTCCTCCTCCTCCTCCTCCTCCGGCACGTTTTGAGACGTCGCTAAAAGGAATATAAAAATCCTCTTTGGGGAACCCTGTCTCGGAGCCCAGAGTTGCGAGGATGTCCCAGGTCGCACCTGGTCGACGAGTAAGCTGTCGGGTCGGCACTGTGAGAGGCTCCACCGCCATGCTGTGAACTCAGAAGCAACTTTAAGAGGAAGCGGGGGAGGGCGCGGAAGCGGGGGGGCATGTCGTGAGGGTTACCTCGGGGATGATATCGAGAGGTACGCGGCGCACGCCTCAAAAAGAAAAATCGTGACGTCGGATGTCTGGGGAGGGCGGAAGGCAGTGCGCGCATGACGAATGCTGAGGCGGCAGAAACGACGACGGCGGGGACGGGGAGGCGGAGGCAGAGGCGCAGCAGCGGGAGGCGGGAGGCGGGAGGAGGGAGGAGGGAAGAGGAACCAGGCGGGAAGTGGGAAGAGGGAGGCGGGAGAAGGAATGAGAGAGGTTGTGATTGGAGCTCCTGTGCTACGAAACGTCTCAGGCAGAATGGGCCAGACCATCTCGCGCGCAACATCTTCGAGCCTCGCATTGCGAGGATGGCTCAATCGAAACGGGCCGGACCACCTCGCGAGCGACATCTTGGAGCTCAGTATTGGAAGGATGTCTCAAACGAAACGGGCCGGACAATCTTTCGCACACGTTTTGACAAGTCCACATCGCACTCGCTTCCCGTTAGGTCCTCTCCTGCAACTCCCTTCCTTCCTCCTCCTCCTCCTCCTCCTCCTCCTCCCCCTCCTCCTGCCTGCTCCCTCATGCACATCATCCGCCTCCTCCTTCTCCCTTCCATCTCCTTCTCCTTCTCCTCCTCCTCCTCCTCCTCCTCCCTCCTCCTCCTCGACCTCCTCTTCATCCCGAACGGCATCTCGGAGCCTAGAGTTGCGAGGATGTCTCCAGCGTAACGGGCTGGACCACCTCGCGCGCGGCATCTCGGACCCCAGAGTTGCGACGATGTCTCGGGCAAACGTGCTGCGAGGAAGTCTCAGGCGAAACGGGCCGGACCACCTCGAGCGCGGCGTCTCAGAGCTCCGAGTTGCGGGGGCCTCCTGGTGCCTCCTGGGGCCTCCTGGGGACCTCCTGGGGCTTCCTCCTGGGCCTCCTGTGGCCTCCTGAACTCCACCTGGGGTTTCCTGAAGCCTCTTGGGGCTCCCAGGGGGGATATCAAACCTGTGGCCGTTTGGGCCTCTCCAAATGGAGGGGGGGCACAAGAGCAGGAAGAATCAACGAATCGACACCGGATGTGTATTAACTTGACACGTTCTGATAGGCGGCCTCCTGGGGCCTCCTGGGAGCCTCCTGGGAATCTCCTGGGACCCCTGGGGCCTGTCCTGGGCGTCCTGCGGCCTCCTGGAGCTCTCTGGGGCCTCCCCCTCCTCCTGCCTGCTCCCTCATGCACATCATCCGCCTCCTCCTTCTCCCTTCCATCTCCTCCTCCTCCTCCTCCTCCTCCCTCCTCCTCCTCCTCCTCCTCCTCCTCCTCCTCCTCCTCCACCTCCTCTTCATCCCGAACGGCATCTCGGAACCTAGAGTTGCGAGGATGTCTCCAGCGTGACGGGCTGGACCACCTCGCGCGCGGCATCTCGGACCCCAGAGTTGCGACGATGTCTCAGGCGAAACGTGGTGCGAGGAAGGCCTCAGGCGAAACGGGCCGGACCACCTCGAGCGCGGCGTCTCAGAGCTCCTGAGTTGCGGGGGCCTCCTGGGGCCTCCTGGGGACCTCCTGGGACCTCCTGGGGCTTCCTCCTGGGCCTCCTGTGGCCTCCTGGACCCCACCTGGGGCTTCCTGAAGCCTCTTGGTGCTCCCAGCCGGGATATCTAACCTGTGGCCAATTGGGCCATCCCAAATGGGGGGGAGCCACCAAGCCAGAACTCACACGAATCGCACCGATGTGTACTGAACTTGACACTTTCTGATAGCAGGCCTCCTGGGGCCTCACTGGAGATTCCTAGGATCTCCTGGGCCCCCGTGCTGTCCTGGGCGTCCTGCGGCCTCCTGGACCCTCTCTGGGGCCTCCTGAGGCTCGCAGGATCACATGGAGGATATGTAACATGTGGTCTTCTGGGCCCCCAGGCTGGACCACCTCTTGCGCAGCATCTGAGAGCTCAGAGTTGCGAGAATGTCTTGTGCGAAACAGGCCGGACCACCTTGCGCACGGCATCTCAGAGCTCAGAGTTGCAAGGATGTCTCAGGCGAGACGGGCCGGACCACCTCGCGCAGGGCATCTCAGAGCTCAGAATTTCGAGGATGTCTCAACGAAACGGGCCGGACCACCTCTCGCGCGGCATCTCCGAAGTCAGAGTTTCGAGGATGTCTCAGGCGAAACGGGCCGGACCACCTCGCGCAAGGCATCGCAGAGCTCAGAGTTTCGAGGATGTCTCAGGCGAAACGGCCCGGACCACCTCTCGAACGGCACCTCGGGGCTCAGAGTTTCGAGGATGTCTCAAGCGAAACGGCCCGGACCACCTCTCGCGCGGCGTCCCGGAGCGCAACTTTTCGAGGATGTCTCAGGCGAAACGGCCAATCCCGGCCAACTCAGAAACGAGAGTTGTGAGGATGTCTCAAGCGAAACGGCCAAAACCATAAAATTTGTGTGAGGATGTCTCTGCTCCGCCTTTCCTGGCCGGAGTTAGTTTCTATCACAACAGCACCCCGTTCAGCAAGCTATTTGGGGAAAAAGGACAGCTCTTCCAAAACGTCGTACTCGATACCTCATCGGCAGCTAGCTCGGCAGAAGCCTTGGCGTCTGCGCCTGCCCAATGCACGGCACCTCAACGTGGATCGAGCCCGAAGGCACTCGCCACCGTCTCCTCGGCCGACGTGTCACTCAGCAGTCGGCCCCCTGGCAAGACAGCGTCGACTCGCGCGAGTCCGAAGCTGGTCCTGCCCATCTGGTGAGTGGCCGTCAACTCCTCGTGAATGATGGCTAGGCGAGCGTCTGGTGCGGCTTGAATCCGGTAACGCTCCACCCCACCCAGCGTCGTGAAGCACATCGAGTCGCCGTCGACAGATGCCTGCAACAGCAACGTGGGCAAGAGGTTAGCTACGTAAGTGAGGCCTTCCGCAAGCGCCGGGAAGTCACACTGGCCGCCGCCATTCCGACCACACGCCACGGCGGTGCCATCGCTCTGGAGCAGAACGGTGTGGCCTCCTCCGGCGGCCACGCGAGTGAAGCTCAGGCCCTCCGCCGGCGCCGGAAGGTCGCACTGGCCGTCTTCATTCCAGCCACAGGCCACGGCGGTGCCATCGCTCTGGAGCAGAACGGCGTGGCCTCCTCCCGCGGCCACCTGCGTGAAGCTCAGGCCCTCCGCCGGCGCCGGAAGGTCGCACTGGCCGTCTTCATTCCAGCCACAGGCCACGGCGGTGCCGTCGCTCCGGAGCAGCACGGTGTGGCACGCTCCCGCGGCCACCTGGGTGAAGGTCAGGCCCTCCGCCGGCGCCGGGAGGTCGCACTGGCCAAAATCATTCTCGCCACACGCCACGGCGGTGCCGTCGCTCTGGAGCAGCACGGTGTGGCACGCTCCCGCGGCCACCTGCGTGAAGCTCAGGCCCTCCGCCGGCGCCGGGAGGTCGCACTGGCCGTCGCCATTCCGGCCACAGGCCGCGGCGGTGCCGTCGCTCTGGAGCAGCACGGTGTGGCCTCTTCCCGCGGCTACCTGGGTGAAGCTCAGGCCCTCCGCCGGCGCGGGGAGGTCGCACTGGCCGTCTTCATTCCAGCCACAGGCCACGGCGGTGCCATCGCTCTGGAGCAGAACGGTGTGGCCTCCTCCCGCGGCCACCTGCGTGAAGCTCAGGCCCTCCGCCGGCGCCGGAAGGTCGCACTGGCCGCCGCCGTTCTCGCCACAGGCCACGGCGGTGCCGTCGCTCCAGAGCAGCACGGTGTGGCACGCTCCCGCGGGGAGCAGCACGGCCATCCGCGGGGAGGCCGCCCGCCGCGGCGCCGCCTGCCGGGGGGGCGCGCTCGGCCTCGCGCCGCCGCGGCAGCGGCGAGGCGGACGAGGCGGCCCCCGGCCGGCAGCGGGAGCGGCCGACCCCTCGAGGGGCGCCTGGGGCCCAGGAGGTTTGCTGACTCTGTTCGCGCCGCGGGCCCTCCAGGGCCCAGGAGGTTTGCTGACTCTGTTCGGCCCCTCCAGGGCCCAGGAGGTTTGCTGACTCTGTTCGCGCCGCGGGCCCTCCAGGGCCCCACCTCTTCATTCCGAACGGCATCTCGGAGCCTAGAGTTGCGAGGATGTCTCCAGCGTAACGGGCTGGACCACCTCGCGCGCGGCATCTCGGACCCCAGAGTTGCGACGATGTCTCGGGCGAAACGTGCTGCGAGGAAGTCTCAGGCGAAACGGGCCGGACCACCTCGAGCGCGGAGTCTCAGAGCTCCGAGTTGCGTGGGCCTCCTGGGGCCTCCTGGGGCCTCCTGGGGACCTCCTGGGGCTTCCTCCTGGGCCTCCTGTGGCCTCCTGGACCCCACCTGGGGCTTCCTGAAGCCTCTTGCGGCTCCCAGGGAGGGATATCAAACCTGTAGCCGTCGGGGCCCCCCAAAATGGGGGGGGGCCACAAGAGCAGGAAAAATCAACGAATCGACACCGGATGTTTATTAGCTTGACACGTTCTGATAGGGGGCCTCCTGGGGCCTCCTGGGAGCCTCCTGGGAATCTCCTGCGGACCCCTGGGGCCTGTCCTGGGCGTCCTGCGGCCTCCTGGTGCCTCCTGGGGCCTCCTGGGGACCTCCTGGAGCTTCCTCCTGGGCCTCCTGTGGCCTCCTGAACTCCACCTGAGGTTTCCTGAAGCCTCTTGGGGCTCCCAGGGGGGATATCTAACCTGTGGCTGCTTGGGCCCCTCAAAATAAAGGGTGGGGGCACAAGAGCAGGAAAAATCAATGAATCGACACCGGATGTGTATTAACTTGACACGTTCTGATAGGCGGCCTCCTGGGGCCTCCTGGGAGCCTCCTGGGAATCTCCTGGGGGCCCCTGGGGCCTGTCCTGGGCGTCCTGCGGCCTCCTGGTGCCTCCTGGGGCCTCCTGGGGACCTCCTGGAGCTTCCTCCTGGGCCTCCTGTGGCCTCCTGAACTCCACCTGAGGTTTCCTGAAGCCTCTTGGGGCTCCCAGGGGGGATATCTGACCTGTGGCCGCTTGGGCCCCTAAAACTGAAGGGGGGGCACAAGAGCAGGAAAAATCAACGAATCGGCACCGGATGTGTATTAACTTGACACGTTCTGATAGAGAGCCTCCTGGGGCATCCTGGGAGCCTCCTGGGAATCTCCTGGGGGCCCCTGGGGCCTGTCCTGGGCGTCCTGCGGCCTCCTGGACCTCTCTGGGGCCTCCTGAGGCTCGCAGGGTCCCATGGAGGATATATAACATGTGGTCTTCTGGGCGCCCAGGCTGGACCACCTCTCGCGCAGCATCTGAGAGCTCAGAGTTGCGAGAATGTCTTGTGCGAAACAGGCTGGACCACCTTGCGCACGGCATATCAGAGCTCAGAGTTGCAAGGATGGCTCAGGCGAGACGGGCCTGACCACCTCGCGCAGGGCATCTCAGAGCTCAGAAGTTCGAGGATGTCTCAGGCGAAACGGGCCGGACCACCTCTCGCGCGGCATCTCCGAAGTCAGAGTTTCGAGGATGTCTCAGGCGAAACGGGCCGGACCACCTCGCGCAAGGCATCGCAGAGCTCAGAGTTTCGAGGATGTCTCAGGCGAAACGGCCCGGACCACCTCTCGCACGGCACCTCGGGGCTCAGAGTTTCGAGGATATCTCAAGCGAAACGGCCTGGACCACCTCTCGCGCGGCGTCCCGGAGCGTAACTTTTCGAGGATGTCTTAGGCGAAACGGCCAATCCCGGCCAACTCAGAAACGAGAGTTGTGAGGATGTCTCAAGCGAAAAGGCCAAAACCATACAATTTGTGTGAGCATGTCTCTGCTCCGCGTTCCCTCGGCCGGAATTAGTTTCTACCGCAACAGCACCCCGTTCAGCAAGCTGTTTGGGGAAATATTAATAATTCCCCACATCCAAAGTGGGGTTCTTGTTTTCTCTGGACACCCCGCGCAGGAACAGGACAGGAACACACACACACACACACACACACACACTCACTCACACTCACTCACACTCTCTCATCATCAACCTCATCAGCAACATCGATGATGCTCTCTCACATGCTTAGTCACTCACATACTCATCATCATCATCACTCGCACTCTCTCACACGCTCACGAACATCATCATCATCATCATCATCATCATCATCATCATCATCGGCATCGGCATCATCCTCATTCAAACATCATCATCGCCACCCCCACTCACAATCAATCATCATCCTCTTCACCACTCATCTTCACCACCACTCATCATCCTCATCCTCATCATCGTTGAATAAATTGTGAGGAAGTCCCAGGCGGGAGCCCCCTCCCTATGGGGCCCGCAGATCATGTTGTTAATCCGAGCGGGCCATCGGAAACCTTTAACTGTCGTCACTTTTGGGCTCGTCAAGCCTGAAAATGGAGGAAGTCTCAGGCGGGAACCTCGTCTGTGAGTGAATTGAGAGGACGTCTCAGGCGGGAGTTCCCTCCCTATGGGGCCCGCAGATCATGTTGGTAATCCGAGCGGGTTATCGGAAACCTGTAACTGTCGTCACTTTTGGGTTCCTCAAGCCTGAATTTGGAGGAAGTCTCAGGCGGGAGCCTCGTCTGTGAATGAATTTTGAGGAAGGCTCAGGCGGGAGCCCCCTCCCTATGGGGCCCGCAGATCATGTTGGTAATCCGAACGGGTCATCGGAAACCTGTAACTGTCGTCACTTTTGGGCTCGTCAAGCCTGAATTTGAAGGAAGTCTAAAGCGGGAGCCTCGTCTCTGAGTGAATTGTGAGGAAGTCTCAGGCGGGAGCCCCCTCCCTATGGGGCCCGCAGATCAAGTTGGTAATCCGAGCGGGTCATCGGAATCCTGTAACTGTCGTCAATTTTGGGTTCCCCAAGCCTGAATATGGAGGAAGTCTAAAGCGGGAGCCTCGTCTGTGAGTGAACTGCGAGGAAGTCTCAGGCGGGAGCCCCCTCTCTATGGGGCCCGCAGATCACGTTGGTAATCCGAGCGGGTCATCCAAAACCTGTAATTGTCGACAATTTTGGGTTCTCGCGCTGCCAGAACGCAGCTCCCAGGCCACATTTTGGACGCAACAAGGAAGTTTTTGAGCCCCTCAGGTCGCCGAGGTGCTGCGACAGGGCGCCGAAGGCGCCGACGACGACGGCCAGGCCGAGGCGCGGGCGCGGAGCTTGCTGATGTTCAGGCCCAGCGAAAGGGAGCTCACATGGCAGAGCTCGGGGGCGCACAGCGTGCGCCGCTCGGGGTTCACCCTGGCGCACGCGTCCTACCTGACCTCCACGCTGTCGCAGGGCCAGACGCTGCGCAAGGGCGTCACCATCGACTGCGCGAGAGACGAGGACGCTGGCCGCGCGGGCATGTCGGACGAGCAGTGGTGGCTGCACCTCTACGTCATGTTCTCCCGCGCCACGTGCATGCGGAACATGCTGATCCTGCGGCCGCCGCCGCGAGAGTTCCTGGAGTGCGGACCGCCGGCGTCCCTGCGGAAGGCGCTCCTGGAGTTCGACAAGAGAGCGGTTTTGTCCAGGGCGGAGGCGAAGCAGCTCGCGGCAGAGCTGGGCTTCGTGCTGCCTTCCGCCTGAGCGCGGCTGCGCCTCGCTCGAAGCCCGCGGGGTTGTCCCAACGGCTTGGTCTTGCGCGCAAACGGCTCGCGGGGTTGTCCCGACAGCCTGGCCCGCGGGGTTGTCCCAACGGCTGCGCGACGTGACCAGTAGAGAACGCGCCTGTGCTGGCCGTGGCGGCGACGGCGCCGAGGAAAATCGACATGCGCGCTCATGCAACAGGAAGGGGAGGAGGTGGCGGGGCGCGGAACAAACAGGGGGGCGAGGATGGGGACAACGTAAGGAGTGGAAGGGGGGCACGCGCCAAGGCGAGAGGAAATATACGCAGAAGAGACAGCCAGGACGCCTCACCAACCACGAGGACGACGGTGATGGCTTTTTCCAGATTCGCCCAGAGGATTCTTATGTGGGGTTCTTCCGTCGGAGTAATAATATTTTTGATAGAAGATAGTTTGAAGACTAATGCGGATACTACTACTACTACTACTACTACTACTACTACTACTACTACAACTACTACTACTACTTACTACTACTACTACTAGACTACTACTACGACAACGACTACTACTCTACTCTACTCCACGCCTCCTCCTCCTCCGCCGCGACGACTACTGAACTACGACTACTACTGACTACGACTACGGACTCTACCTCTACAAATCGACGACGTATACTACTTACTAGTACGTAACGACTACTTACTACGACTACTATTACTACTACTACTACTACTACTACTACGACCGACTATACTACTACCTACACACTACTATACTATTACGACTACTACTCTTACTACGATACTTACTACTAATACTTACTATACTACTCCTACTACTACTAATATACTACTACTCCATACGACTCACGACTACGCACTACGACTATACTTACTACTACTACTAACTTTTTCTAATAATACATTTGTAGATTACGGACTCTACTACTTACTACTATACTACTATAATACTAACTAATACTCATACTATACTACTACTATACTTACTACTACTACTATACTACTTACTTCATACTCCTACTCTACTCTACTTCCTACTCCTACTCCTACTCCTACTACTATACTACTACTACTATACTACTACTACTACTACTACTACTTATTACTACTACTACTACTACTTACTACTACTACTACTAATACTGACACGA